GAAAAAAAAAAAAAAGAAAAAAAGTTCATCAAGATCAGATTATTTTCAACTAAGCAGGTAAAAAAACTAAATTATTTGACCAATATAAATAAGAAAAAAGGGTCATTATATACATTTTTAAACTTTTCGAGTAAATAAAAGATATGGTAATTACAACAAGACCCATGACACATAGGGGGATAATGTAATTTAATGCAGAATAATAAAATTAAATAATAAAAATGATAATTGATTTAGGCAAGAAATGGAAACAAATGATATTAAATGCGCAAACTTTTTGCGGGGTAATATAATTAAATGCAGGATAATAAAAGTATATGACGTGTTGCTCCAAATTATATATAAATAGATACAGATATAGTAATCAACTTGTGCAATTGCATAGAGAATAATACTTAAAAAAGATAACAATATAAAAAAACAAAAATAAATCATAATTTAATTCATGAAAAAAATATGAAATAAGAAAATAATTCTCAAAATTGATTTTGATCAAGTAATTGCTATGGAAGAGCCGTTACCATTTTCTTTATGCTAATACGTCCGACCATTTTCATGAGTAGGTGTGACTTAAAATTTGAGTTAAATATTGCAACGCTCTTGATTCATTTATGCTCATGATTTATGACATTCAATCAAGTTATTTTGTAACTTAAAAATAAAATTGGATGTTGAAAAATTTGGAAGGAGGATAAAATATAATGAAATGTAATAAAATTAAATGTGATGCTCCAAATTACATATTTATAGATATAGATATGCCGTGAAGGTTATGTGGATGGGAGAGATGATGATTGTGTTGAAATAAATGGGGATGAATATGGATGTCTCAGGGCTTGATTGTTTATGAAATAATTTGTTATTTTGGTTAATCATAGGTAATTTTGAAAAAGGTGGTATGGTTAGTTGTTAATGGAATTTTAAGAATATATAAAAATAATATTTAAAATAAAATGATTAAAATTGGTTTGATGTAAAAGTAAGAGATAAATGATTGGAAATAATAAGTAGTTACAATCCGGACCTAATTATGTTTGGTTTGGAAGTAAATTAAAATATACATAAGCCTAATAACGAAACATGCAATTTTGCCACATAGGATCCCGAAGCATGCGAGTTTGTCACTTAGGCTCAGCACATTCTGAATTAATATATAGGGAGGATATGAATAATATTGAATATAATGAGGTTGAGTTAAAGTTAAGTTAGATTTTGAGTTGAAATAAAAGTGAGTAAATTAATTCATATACCCTTAAATTCTAATAAATATTAGGGAAATTTTTACACCTCCTACAAGATTTAGACTTATTTGTGTTTTTACGGCTGCTACAACTTTAATTTCATATGTACCTAAAACTACCAAATTAATTAGAGATTTGCTTAATTTAGTTACCATAAAAATAACGTTGACCCCAAAATTTTGCAGATGATCTGTTACGTAAAAAATAAAAATAAGAATATCTCACATAGATCCCAAAATACCGTCATCTTCCTCGGCAAGAAGGAGAGCCACCAGTTTTCCGACCACGAGAAGGTCGTGCGCGCCGACGAGGAGAGCACCAGAAACCCCGATTTCAGGTGAGGAAATTCGAGGGCACTCGAGATTCACCAAGTTCCGGCGAGTATCAAGTGCACCAGACCATTCACGGCGAGCAAACACACTCCGGCTACAACCCCTCAGCCGAGATAGGCGTGCCTACTTCGTGTGCGATGGTGGCCATGCTCCAGGACACAGGTTTTTTCGAGATAGACAATTCAAGATTTTAAAAGAAAGAAAAAAAAAAAACATACGACGAAAAAGAAAGAAAAGATGAGCAACTGGACTCTGCTCAACCGTTGGAGACCTTCTTGCCTGCTCATCTCATCTAAGTGATCTCGAGTGCATATCTTAGGTACATTTTAGATATATGTGGGTCTGAAATCGATTTTGAGTCACGATCAGAAACTCGAGCGTATATTTAAAGTATATTTTATGTGTATGTGTGTCCCGATCTGTCGCTGGCTTGAATTACGAGAATCTCGAGTGTATATTTTATGTATATTTTATGTAGATGTGTTGTTTTGGTATTCATTTTTTTGTTGATGAATACCTCGGTGTTGTTTTGGCCATGATTGAATCCGTTTTGACGAAAAACTTCTTAGAAGGGTAATTGTCGAACACATGGTGTGCTTGATTCGTTGATAGATAGTTCTATTTTGTACATATTGCAAGTATATATTGCGGGTATATGCAGTATATTTTCGGGTATGAAATATATATGTTTTGGGGTATGAAAATTATATACATGAATTTTATATTACCATCAGATATGAAAATTTACATGTTGCGGGTATATACAATATATACCAATGTTGTACAAACACACATGTACACAAAATATACATAAATATACTCGTAATTAAGCCAACGACAGATCGGGACACACATAGACATAAAAATATACTTTAAATATACACTTGAGTTTCAACTGTTTCTCAGAATTGATTTCAGGACCCACATATACCTAAAATATACCTAAATTATACACTCGAGATTCAATCCCCGTCAGAATGTCACCATTACACTACAAGCAGAAGAAGGCAAAGCAAAACTGAAAAATGGTGCTCTCGATAACAGTAATAATGAATAATTAATCCAATTTTCGAATCCAACGGCAGATCCTCGAACAAGTACTTGAATAACACCTCCAGATTCATCCCCCGCCTATGAAACAAGTGTGCGTGCTTGAGGCCGCTTATGACGCCCTCCGTCGTCGAGTTCTCTTCCCCCTGCACCTCCGCCATGAACCGCCGCAGTCCGTCAGCTTCCATCACCTATATAACCGTCGCGAAATTCTCAAACCCGATGAGGACGACCGTCTGTCGAATTTTTCCAATTAGGACGAGTGGATTTGGTTTTCGCCATTGACAGTTGAATTGGGCAAAAAAACTTGAACGGTTTGCAAAGTGAGGGAGAAGTGGGGCGGTGGGGTTTTTTTGGGAGAATAAACTTGCACTTTTTGGTTGCTATTTTTTAGGTAAGTGTATATTTAATTCACTTAAATATCTCAATCACATTTAAAACACTTAATAACGGTTAATCGGATTATTAGGTATATTTGAAAATCTTTTAGCTTGTTTAGATAATTTTAAAAAATAAATTATAAGGAGTGCAAAAGTGTTATATAATTTAAATATAAAAGTATGGCATGCAATTTCCTCTAAATATTAAGCATAATGAAAATCAGACGGGCCTTGAAATGAATATAGGCCCATTAGGGTTTTCTTATGTTAATAAATTCCTCCATATATAAAAAAGCTACACGAAAACCGTTTCAGCCTTAAAACTAGGGTTTGGGAGTTGCTCACTCGTCTTCGCCAGCATCAAGCACAGACGCCCTTCTTTGAAAATGGTACTTTCTCTTCAATTCTTATGCATGTTTTAGCTGTTCTGCTATGGTTTGAGCTGCAAAATAGCTTTAATTGTCTCAGACACCCTTATCATCCACAGCATTTGCTTTTATATTTTCCGTTTTTGTCGATTTCATTTAGTCGGAGACATTTTAGCTCAGGTTATTGTTGACGTTTGATATGAAAGTTATGATTCTTTGTAAGAAAGCTGGATTCTGATCCTAATATTTGAAGGATCAAAATTTTGGGGCTTATCGATTCGATTATCAAATCCGAGCAATGTTATAAGTATCAACATATTGTGTAATCAGTACTTTGTGGTGTATGGGTTGTTAAAGCCAGTTCCTCTTATGCTATTTCTGTCTGTTAATTTGAGCAGAGTGTGTCACTTGTATTCTAAGGGTTTACCATTTGGGTTTTGCTGGTCTAGTCTCACGGGGTTCTGTTTATATCTTTATGTAATCTATGTGGGAATAACAACAACCCATGACTCAGTTTGGTTATGGTTGCATGTGGATTTTGATTGATCTGGTAATCTCGTAGATTTGAGTTTCGTCCCTCGTAAAAATAGTGTCTTGATGCTTTTTTGTTCGATTATGTTGCTTATATGCAGCCGAAGCAAATTCACGAGATTAAGGACTTCTTGCTGACAGCTAGGAGGAAGGATGCTCAATCTGTGAAGATCAAGAAGAGCAAAGATGTTGTCAAGTTCAAGGTTCGATGCTCAAAGTATCTGTACACCCTCTGTGTCTTTGACCCTGAGAAGGCTGACAAGTTGAAGCAATCCCTTCCCCCAGGTCGAGCATAGTTTATTAACAAGTGTCTTGTTTATCTGCTATAGCCAATCTCTGCAAGAATATTGACCTTTTAGTGTAGCATTCAGATCATATGAAGCTGTTTGCAAGTTTGTTGAGTGTTTTCATTGAAGGATATCGGATTTGATGTGATTTGTTGAACATCTCACTGTCCCGTTTAAAGTTGAAATTACCAATACCATATGTTCTTGTTAGATTCTGAAGGCAGGCTGGCTAATGTTTATTACGAATTCTTGTTTTTGTTTTATTCATGGCATATTTGGACATATTGTTTTCCACCTCATTGTATTTGCTTGACCTTTGTGTGTGTATCCTATGTAACAAAGTGTCTCAAACTGTTGTTTTATGTCGCAGGTTTGAATGTGCAAGACCTGTGAACTGGAATTTTGTGGACTCCAGCGATTGTCATTTGGTGAAAGATTTTGCTTGTTTTTGGTTATTGTTTGAAAAACTAATCTGGATGGGAATCATGCAGTCTATCTGTAGTGAAAACATATTCTGGGAGACCTCGTTTATCAATGTGTTGAATTTTGATTTTCTAGATGATATAGATCATGTTATTCTACTTGCAGAACTATATAGAAACCGGTGCAGGTTGCTTTAAAACTCCTTAAGTTGTAATCTACATAATTTAAGAAACATATCTTGAATTTTGTGTTAGGCTTAACTAAACCTTGAAGTGGGTGGGTTTGAATAATTATGCCTTTGAAAATTGTTATTTTAAAAGATTTATGGCATGATTACCAGGGGACTGGAATGAGTTAGAGAATGAAATGATTATGGGAAATGAATGAAACAAGTTTTGTCATTGATGCTTTTGGTGTGCAGAACGAAATAAGAACGGAATGAAATGACATTATCATCATATATTATCATTTATCACCATTTTGTAGTAAAGAATTAATATTTATATTTATTTTATTTTCTCATTTATCATAATACTAATATTATTTTATATTTTAAAAATATACTTTAGTATTTTTATTCCCATCTCACATAATAAATAAGTGGATTATGTATTTATATACATATTAACTAATACAAAAATGTCATTACATAAACCTTATGAGCATGTGGTCAAACATACTATTTTATAATATAATTTAATTTATGAATAAATATGTAATATATATCATTATATAAAATAAAATAATATTTTTCTAAACTTTATAAATACATTTTTTGTGAGTTTTATTTTTATGTAGCTATTTAATATATCTAATTAAAATATGACTATTAAACACTGTTTTTCAACCCGGCCGATCCGGAGCTGGAATCGTTCTGGGTAGGCTATTTAGATCGGGTAACAATGAACCCAGTCAAAACTCGTCCAACCCAGCCTTGACCCGGCCGACCCGGGGCATTGACCCGGCCGAATCAACCCGGTTGACCCGGTCTTTATATTTTTCTTTTTATTTTTTAAATATTTATATATAAAAAAAATTATGTAAATATACTGATATAATAAATATTTATTGTGAGATATAAATATTTTAACACTTTGATGTACAAATTCTATATGCAAAACATTTATTTTTGTTACTTTTATGTATATTTATATATAAAAAATACTATATATGTAATTTAACAAAATTAAAATTAATTATCCGATTCAGCAATTGACCCGGTGACACTGCGGTTGAACCGGTGACCCAGTAACCCGGAGACATGCCCGAGTCGATTTCTGGGCCAGGTTTAAAAACTACGCTATTATATAATTTTTTTTTTTAATTTCATATTTGAAATTTATTTTTAAAATGATATCATTAATATAATTTACTCATGATAATATATTACTAATACGTACCCCGTGCAATGCACGGGACATAGATATTAAATGAATTATTTTCAAACGACTCTGTTTGTTTAAGTCTAAAAATCAATAGGGTTATCATATATTTTTCACTTGTATATTAGGGCTAACTTGTAAAGTAATTAATATATTATCTATACATATTTAATTCTTTTTTTATCGGTTATACATATTTGTTTTTAATTTGAAAAAAAAAAGTTTGACCAGTTGAGTATTAAATCAGCACTAATTAATTTATTAAGAAAGTAAAGACGCAAAGCAAGACAATTCAATTATCCAGCAATTTAGGGTACTATATAGTTATTTCCTTTATTAAACATGATTTTTAAAAATAAAACAACATCAGCCCCAAATAATAGGCAACATTCATGATTTTGTTGAAAACCAAAATAACAAAATCCTTAATTAATGGGTAGCATTTAATGCTACTTTTTTTATTAAAATAAAAAAGAAAAGAAAAGTTACTAAGAATGGAATGTAATTAATGCAAAATGATTTTGACCAAAATTTGACCTACTATTTTTGAAAAATGGTAAATCTTTTTATATACATATATCTATCTATACTTATATTAAAAGCTATACTATTTACTAAATATAGTGTGTAGAATAGTCAACCCTAATTAATGATTTGCTATTTTTATCAAGCATTTAATTAATGCATCTAAAATTTTTGGTATGCAAATCAAATTAGCATTTAATTAGTTCCTAAAATATTGTGTATGTAATACTACCTCCTATTTTAAATAGATGTCGTTTTGGAATGTTGCACATCTATTAAGAATATTTTTTTTTGTCAATAATAACCTTGTTTAATGAAGATAGAGATGAATGTTTTGAGAAAGAGATGAAGAGTGATTATGAAAAGACGTGATGTATTTATTAGTTAAATGGGGGTAATAATGGAAAAATATGTACAAAATATCTAAAATGACATTTATTTAGCAAATAGTTGATAAAGCTAGAATGACATATAAAAAAAATAGGAGGGAGTATTAATTTAGGAATATCCATGTATTTCCTAAAATGTTGGTATGCACGTAAAAGAAGATTTTTTAATTTTTTTAAATGTAAAATATTGCAACACGTAAAACTATTCCAGTTATTTTTTATTTTATTTTAAATATAAAATAAATCAATATTTAATGCATCCTACAAAAGTGGATTTAGTTTAATTCTCCATACAATTGGTTATAACTTTTTCAGTTGTACTTTATTTATTTATTTATTTTACACTTTTAAATTAATGAAGCTCTCCGAAATATCAAATGATTTATGAAAGTTTTTTTTTTTTTGTTTTTTTAAAAAAAATCTATATACCCAGCTTAAGAAAATTTCATCTCCACGAGTCAAAAAAATCACATCCCTCTATCTAACAACTTTAAATGTAAATAAATAAAAGTCTAATTACTACTATAAATCCATTATCTATATATATTTTTTACAAATATAAATTTCACCTGTCTAATTACTAATATTTTAGATACTTTTAAATATTATTTGTATAAATTTTTTACACATTTTCTCTCTCTATATATATACATATATGTAGGTTAAATGAAGATTTTTTATATATATTTTTCCTTACGGGTAGTTTAGAAAAATTTAGGTAGCTTCAAACATTATTTGTGAATAATATAGAATATTTTAGATGCTTTTATAGATGTTATAAAATATTTTAAGTATTTTTAATATTTATATATCACACTTAAAAAAAATATTTTGCCAAAAAAAAAAAAAATTAAATACACAGTAGAAATGTTAATAGAAACAGTCTTCAGTGTTCGTCTTTGATTTTGTTAAAACAAATCTCATAAAATCAGTGCAGCCAAAATTTGTACGTAAAGTTTATCTATACTAAAAAAAAGTAGATTTAAAATTCATTATCTAATTTCTTCTTTTCCTTATCTAATTCCTTCTTATTATCTAATTGTATATAAATATGTTCTGATTTTGTTCAATCCTCTAATTGTATTTGTATTATATCTCATAAAATCGGTTTAACAAAAAAATTCCATAACATCCGATAAGTAAAAAAATTACGTAAATTTTTTACTAAAATAAAAAAGACTTTTATTATCTAATTGTATGGAAATCTGTTCTAATTTTATACTACGTACTACAAATTGTGCACCCGTGTTCAAGAGCTACTTAACGGGCAAGCTCTGTGAAATAACTCATTTAGTGCTTCTGTCCCATGCATACGGTATGTAATTGTATTACACATACTAAAAAATTGTGCACCACGTGCATCGCACCGACTCTGTACTAACAAATGATCTTAAAATTATGCATCCCGTGCATCACCCGTGTTCACATTTTGGCCTATTACATGTCACGTACTATATATATCTCGTACATTTTTCTTTATTCATTTATATAATTATATGACTTGATAAATGACCTTAATTTTGTGCACCACGTGCATCGCACGGGATCTATACTAGTAAATATATTATATACTTATTTGTTAATTTTATTTTTTGAAAAATCGATTACTAAATATATAGGAATGAAAAATCATCCATTAGCTATGAAATGACTATCCCATATATATGATATACGCGGAATCGAAATGGTCATCCTTTTCTAAAAACATACCAATCATGGTACTTTTTGTAATAAATTTATAAAAAAATATCAATAAAATATTTGAACAATTTAAAATTTTTCAATTTTAAACTAATTGATAAATCTCCATTATATTTAAATATATATTTTATTTATTTTAAAAACATTTTTAAACGTAACAAAATTTATTTAAACAATCGTACCGATTTTACCAGTACAACCGGTTGGTTTTGACCAGTTCGCTCAGCCAATTACAAAGGTCGAATGAGCTCATATAAAGTTTTCTCATGGAACACAATTTGTGATGATCAATATGTTCCATGACCAGCGGACGAATCAACAAGTATTAAAGCAATAATAATAATAATAAGAAGAAAAGAAAAAGAGAGCTAAGTTATATGTAGACAAGAATAATGCTCCCCTATCCACGGTCAGTGGCGAAGCTACATGTACTGAACGGGGTCGTCCGACACCGACGCTTTGCGTTGAACCACTTGTACGTAACAAAATTTCACCGTGTAAGACCCCATTAAAAAAATAATAAGACCCCGCCAGCAGGGGCGGATCTATATAAAACACCGTGTAAGACCCCCCGACCCCATCAACCAAAATTTCTGGCTTCGCCCCTGTCCACGGTGGACACATGTTAATATGTCCACTGCTCATGTTAAGGACATCCCCAATGGTAATAGTTATTACTAGCTATATGGTAAGAAAAATAACTACTTTACACTATTGGACCCACGTACTCCTCTCACATGATCTTGGGCTATGTGAAATAAATAAGCTATTTGTTTGTTGCTAGTGACTACTCTCTCCTACTTTTCCCTTGTCCTGTTGTCCACGTCATAATAGTTAGCCAAATAGCTAATCATTGGAGACGCCCTAATACATCACAAAATGTGTGCATGCCACATAAGCGGTGGAAATATTAACATGTGTCCACCGTAGGTAAGGGAGCATTATTGATGCAAACAAATAAACAATTCATGAA